GATTACATTAACTAATGGGGAGACATAGTTAAATACAGATGTTTTGTAGGTAGGTACAGAGCAAACATATTTAGCAATGAAATTCATGGGCCAACAGAAATCAAAGATCTTGTTATAATAGAAGCAATGGTTTATCTGATTAGAGTTGCATCAGCCCTGTGCATGCCAGAATGCCTGGCAAAGAGCTTCAGCATGTAGCAATAAAAATGTTGTATGTTCCTTCTCTTTCAAGAAAATAAAAACTTTCTATCACTAAGAATACAACAGAAGCAGAAGAGTACCAAAGAGTAACTTATACAAGCACTACATCACTAGCCTCTTTTTTCACAGCATTAACTTCTGCTCTGTGGGTTTTTTTTGTATTGCTTTAGTTTGGTTCTGTTTGTTACTGAGTTTCTAACCCTGTGATTTTGAAAAGAACCTCTACAATGCAAACCAGTACAGAGTTAAGTGAATCTGTGACAAGTCACAGCATAGCTCTAACTCTGCTCTGGGGACCTTCATGTTATTTTTGACGCTTAGGTTTCAGATTACATTTACAGATCCTAATTTTCCTTGATTACCTGCAAGTTTCCTAAAAGACTGCAGTTTGATTTTCAGCTGCATTAGAATAAAATGGTGGAAAGACTCACTGCAGAATTTGTGCGTTATCAAGTTTTGAATTAATAAGAACAGGAGGCGGTAGGAGGAATTAAAGTATTATTATGGATAGGTCAGAATGTAATATTCTCTGTGTCCATCCACTATCTGCAGCCAAAAAACTACAGAAAAACAGTGGGGGAATCATCTCACCAAGCACTGTATGGAGGCTTTGCTGCAGACAGTATATTCACACACAGGAGCATCTGCAGCTATGAAACAAGAAGCTCTGTGGTGTCCCTGTGCATTGCAGGGTGTTGGACTAGATGGCCTTCAGAGGTACCTTCCAACTCCAAGGATTTTATGATTCTATCTTCAAAATGCATCAGCATAAAACTTTGGTCTCCTCCACTGACACTTTGAAGCATGTTGGAGAAGACCTTTCAGACATAGGTCTAACTGCAGATAGACATTTCTATTGAGGAGGGAGCAAAACAAGTTCTCATGAGCTACACCAATTGCTTTGTTCTTATTCAAGCAGAATTCCAAAGCTTCACTTGGATCACTGAAGTGCCTCAAAGGATGCCTGGTTTAGCTCTTATCTGATGCCTGGGTTGGCTCTTATCTGATGCCTGGTGCCCTGCATTTTCAGGCAGTCAGGACTACCCCACTGCAGAGGCAACATCTGCAAACTGCTGCTAAGAAACTTGGTTTATCTAGTATTAAATGTGCAGGTTGGTGGCCCTGCATGTGGCAGGGGGTTGGAGATTCACGATCCCTGAGGTCTCTTTCAATCCTGGCCATTCTGTGATTCTGTGATTATCATTGGAGCAAAACCCCTTTTACATGTGGAAGAACAGGCCGGCTGGCCTGCAGCTTCACTTTGCTTTCAGACACGGACCGCTGCCGTTCTCTGCCCTGAGTTTTGCTGAGTTCCTCGGATCACGGTTTCCTCCTTTTCGCTCCAACCCCTCCGCCCACCTTCACCCGGCAATTCCCTCTGTAAACCACCGCTCTGCCTGCTAGGTGGCACTGGCCATCCACCAGCGCCGGCCCGAAGGCAGGTGGCACTGAAGAGCCGTCAGGGCACATGGCCACCCTTTGCTCGTTGCTCTATTTACTTACTGCGATGGCATTTTCTTCGCTCAGATTACTTAATTCCTTACTCACAGCACTGACATGACACTAACAGTTCTACTCGTGTCCTCTTCCTATGTTATGAGGAGTATCAGCTTGCTATTAGCGTAGCTCCAGGGGACCAGAGGTACTTCTGAATTCATCCGTTGGTCAAAAACAATTAAAAACAAACAACGCCCTAAAATTCCTTTGAGTTTCTGCGATCAGCTTAGTTTGAGTACCAATATTTTCCCAACAATAACTCTGTGAAGGTGCGTGAAGTGTAATTAAACTTTTCTGCCTGAAAGTAGCATTAAAAAGCTGTTTCTGAGCAGACACTGAGGGGTGGTACATGAAGACGGTACATAAAAATGTGTCTACCAATGCATGGGGGAGGAAGCTGAAGCTTTTGTTCCTATCTGCAGAGTACCCAGCACAACTGCTGCATCCCCACTGTGCCCTTTCCAAAGTAAATGTTAAAAAATAACAGGGTCGAGCCAAATTTGGAAACCAAGTTAGGCACAGATGGAAACAGAAGTGCCTTTCTTCTAAGTATCCACGGCTCAAACCACCCTGGCTACACTTTGTGCGCTCCCACCTCCCTTCAGCCTGGCCTTTTATGAAGCAGTGTGTCTGCTTCTCACATCCATGGGCACAGATGTCACCCAGCACCAGGCATGCCCACATGGGTGTGATTTCCTGGAAGCTGAGGGTGTACCTCTGTTCAGATGGCGAGCTCCCTGGCTGAGGTTGCTTGAAGACACTGCAGGTATCACGGTATCTCCTTTGCATGCCTGTAGATGTTTTCCAGGTAGGTGTGGCTATGCTCCTACTTGGCTCATCAGATTCTGCCCAGATGCCCATGCTTCCAGTGACAACTCCAGGTCTAGCTTTCTCATTAATTTTTTTTAGCCTTATAATTATCATACACACATGAAACTGAACACAGTATTACATCCTACCATATTATTTCCAGGTGCCAGTCATCTAATTTCTGCCTTTTTTTTTTTTTTTTTTTTTTTTTTTTTTTGTCTTCATTGAGAATGTCTGTATCTCTCAGTTTCCTTAGGGATGTTTGGAACTGATTGACCCCAATCCTTGGAGGGATTGAAATACAAGTAGAGCTTTTATGCACACCAGCTCTGAGAAAATCTTGTGGTGAGATTTTAGGATGTTTCTCCTCATCTTCCCACCTTTTCACTCTGTTCCCTCTCAGAGGTTATAATCTGTATAACAAAGTTGGCAGACAGACTGAAATACTTGTGCATTAAGCCATTCTGTACAAAGCCTGGCACCTCTGTTCTAATGTCTGATCAAAGCGGGTTTGAACTAAGATGTGTGCCTGTGAACTGGCAGGGGCACACAGGCTGTTCTGCTGACTCTGCTCTTAGGGCAGCGAGCTTCCATGGAAGGAAGGAAGGAAGACTGAGGGCAGGCGGGCGCTTTGTTGAGGTCTCAAAATGACACACAGATTTACAAAAGCAGGTCCTTCTAAACCCAACTGCCTAAACCTGCCTGAAATAACTCCAGGATTCATTTTCCCCCGTTGAGATAACATAGCACAAGGACTTCTGTGTATTTGCTTGCCCATTCCTCTCACGCAGCATGAAGCAAATGGCTACCTACACCTCCCTGGCTATTTGCAAGGCTACTTAGCTTTAAAACACAGCTGGGAGCAGCACCACTAATCTTAAATTAACTTTCCAAGTGGGGGAAGAGTCTTGAATTTTTCCTTATCTACTTCACTGGGTCTTGTGCTGACAGTCAGGTTTGCTGTTCTCACCACTGTTAAAGTGTTCTTCTCTTTATTGGGTGTACTGTGAACAAACCATCAGTCCAGACCTTTCTGATACAGCTGTTGTGATCTACCTTATCTTTATTTGCTCCTCGAGCCACTTTGGTAAGGCTGGACAAGCCATCTTCTGAAAAAAAAAAAAGAAAAAAAAAGCAACTTTGAACTCTGGAAGAGCAACTAGCAAATACCTTTACTACTGGAGACAGAGAGCTTAAGATGCAGCTGGGATACAGCTAAAGTGTATGCAAGTTGCAGAGATCTGCACAGATAGTGGCTGAGTCACTGGTCACTGGTGTTGAAGCTATTAGGGAATTCTTAAGGATGTTTAGTGGTAGGTTCACTTCACTAATTAATCACCTTGATCGGGCTACAGAGAGTTTTGATCATAGTTGGCAGTGATAGCACAGAAAAAATGAGCTATCAGCTATGAGCTTGCAGCTAATACAGTAATTTTTACACGGAACAAAGGAAGAACTCTGCATAATTACAGTAAAAATGTTTACATTCATTGCTACTGCTACTGCAGATGAACTAGCTACTGTCTTTATAACTTTGCTGGGGGAAACAGAATGAAGATACAGCCCAGATTTCTGCACAGACGTATTTTGTGGAAATGGTCAGTAAATCGAAATGATCTCAGATCACTTTGCATTTTACCAAGCAGCAGCTTGGTCTGGCAAGCTCTGCACATGATTTGTGTGGGCATCTGAGTAGCCCCTGCTTGCTCAGTGTGATTACTGAAGTGCTTGAAGTTAAGTGTGTATGAATGTCTTTGCAGAAGGAGGACACAAAATTCAAATAGTGTTTCCCCTCAACAAACTCCTAATAGGTGCATTAAAAAAAGTCAGAACAAAACTTCAGATTTCTACCAATTCTACAATTGTAAAGGCTGTGTCTTCACCTGTGCCACGGATGGCACAAAGCGCAGTCAGTCCTTAACAAACAGACAAGAGTGATAAAAAGCCAATATGCAAATTGCATTATACACCAATGTGTTTTCTTAATTTGTGTATGAGGCTCATTTAAGATTCCAGTATACGTACGAGTTATAGTCTATGCAATGTCCCTTAACATGCACTTGAGACCTCATCAGTGATGGGGGAGATAGTCTTCACAAATGCCTTTTTCATCACTCAAAAGCTCGGCAGGGCTGCTGGGTGCCGGTGGTCGTGTCTGGGCTGACTGTGTGGGTGCAGGGAAAGGGCGGCTCGGGGTGGGGGAGCCCGTGTCATTCGGTGGGAATAGCTTGCTTCCACAGCAGCAACATTCATTGCAAAAGCAGGAAATTGCTTATTATTAAATAGCTGGCAAAGGAGTGGGAGCCGATGCTGTTCCACACTGGCACAGCACTTACTTTGCTGCTTTCCCTGCCTCTCCTCATTCCGTTCTTTCTTTTTCTTCTTCCCCCTCTTTCTCTCTCTCCCCTCTCTCTCACTCCTCTTCTTTTTTTCATTTTGGCTTCTATTCAAATGTGGGTCAGGGGTGAGCGGCTCCCAACGTCACAAGCTTGCAAGATGGCGCTGGGAGGAAGGCTGTGAGATGAGGAACAGGCTGGTATAAACCGAGAGGACAGGAGAGGGAGAGGAGAGGGGCAGGGGAAGCAGAGCCGCTGCTCCAGATGCACTAAGAAGGTAACGCGGGGCGGGGGGGGCGATGGGCCGCGCGTCCCGCTCGGGCGCTGCGGGGCTCGCTGCAGCCCAGCCCTTCTGCCCGCTCTTTATTTGCAGCCCTGTTTATTTGCCCATCTTCACGGGGCCGCTCGGGAGAGCCGCCGTGGTGGCCCTTCTCTCCCTGCTCTTCGATAGCCGTGCTCAGCACGGGCGGCAGGTCTCGGGGAAAACAAAATGGGATACATGTATTTTTGCTCTCTCCTCGCCCTCTTTCCGTGCCCCGGGGCCCCTTCCCCTCGCGCTGCCCCGTTGCTTTGGGGCCGGGGCGTGCGTGCGGCGCCTCTGCCATCGTGCGGGATCGCAAATGCGGGCTATTCGGCTGCAGCGGCTAGAAACTTTCCCTCTCCTGTCGTGATATTTCTGTGTGTGTGCATGTGTGTGCGCGCACACGGGTGTGCGCTGCCCCTTCCTCGCGGTGCCGGGCTCGGGGCGGGGGCCGCAGCTGCTGCCCGCTGGGGCCGGCCGGCGTGGGAGCGAGCGGCAGCCCCGGAGCAGCCGTCTCTCCATCTCCATTCACCCTCTGCAAGTGAATCGTAATTTTTCTATCTTTTTCTTTCAAAGGGTCGGAGCTGAGCCTCGGGGTGCCGGGGGGCGTGTTTGCGCCGGGGATCCGGCCGTATTGTGGAGGAGAGGGCAGGGAAGTGGCTCCCGGGACTCGCATCGCCTCCTTCCCCCTCCTCCGTCCCTCCGCGGGGCTGAGAGGCGCCGAACCAGGCCGGCAGCCCCGGGGCACACTGCCAGCCCCTGCCCCACCGGGCACCCCAACGGGGAGCGCGGTGAACTTTTGCCCCGGCTCCCTTTTGCCCCCCTTGGCCCTTTGGGATGACGGAGCCGCCAGCTCCTTTCGCCCTGCCTGCGGCCGCTGCTCTCCGGCTTTTGTTAGAGCTCCGTCTGGGCTCAGCGCTCGGAGGCGGCAGCGCGCATCCTCCCGCGGCAAAGGGCTGGCAGGACCCTGCCCCCGGCTTTGTGCCCCCGGAGGAAATGCATGGCCTCGGCCCCGCCATGCCGGAGCAGCGCTGTCCGCCCCGCTCCAGAAACAAACAAAAAAATATATACGTATATGCCTGTGTATAAATGTAAAATAATGAATGCTCTATGCGCAAGCTGGCAATATCGCTGCGAGGCGCACACCGCTGTAGTGTAAAAGCCGGGCGGGCTGCCCGGTCCCGTGTGCGAGAGCGGAGCGTACCCAGCCGCGCTCCGCATCTCCCGGCGGTGCCAGGCTTTTTGTTTGTCTGCCTGCATGTAAAAGGAAAGCGAAGTCGGAGGGTGTGGGGGACGAGCCGGGCACCGCGGTGCCCGCAGCCCCCTGCCTGCTCCCGGCCCCTTTTGTATAGGGAGGGAGAAGTGAATTATTGACTTCTGCTTGGCCGCGGCCCAGGTGGAAGCGGGCACGGCGGTGGGCGGGCGGCTCTCGGCACGTCCCCCCCCGCTGCCCGTTATCGCGGCCGCCAGCTGCGCTGCGCCCGGCCCCGCCGCCGCTCCGTGCCCGCTGCCCGCCCTGCGGAACCCGCCGCAAACTCGGTGCCGTGTGCCGGGAGGAGCGCGACTTCGGGGTCGATAGCCGCGAGCTGGGCGAGGGTGTGCCTCTCCATAAAATGAATGAGTGATGTATGGCAGCGAGTGTCGAAGCAGGCAGCTACCGAAATCTCCCTAGATGTCGCGTAGTTAGAATAGACCTGGGAGCAGTAAGATCATCGAAAGTGCATTCTGGTAATAAGCCGTCTTTTGACCAACGCTGGTTTAAATTTGTTGTGGAATGCTGTTTATATTTGAATGGCTTCCATGTTTTTCCACAAATTAAAGGGGAAAACAATACGCAATAGTAACTTTCATTGGAAAATGTCAGAACTATGAGCAGATGTTCACTGTACTTGATAAATACAGCGTATAAACATCAGTATTTCAAGATGACTTCTTACTATTTTTTTATGACTCAGAACCATTGTATGTGCTACAGCAGCTCTGAAGAGAAAGCTGTAAATTGCTCCTTAGGATTTAACAGGAAATATACATGGAGAAAATGACATATAAATAGAAAATTGACTTATTTGCGCAACTGCAAGTGGCTTCCTTTTTGCACCTATTCAATAGCAATCTAATCCTAGAAGCAGTGGGAGCAATTATTTGCAGTGGTGCCTGACATTGTAGGTCTAATTATTTAAATCAGTTTAACTTTTGATGGTTGACCCATCAGGTCAATTCTGTGTGCCCTTTGTTGTATTTATTTAGGGGGAGAAGAAAAAAAAAAAAGGAGGGGAGGGGATGGTTCTTCGAACTTGCCACCTGCTACTGACATATCATTTTAGCTCTGGAGGAGATCAGCGTTAGGAATAAGCAGCCTCTTGCATTTGTTACTTTCCACTCTAACACGAGTAAGGGAGCCGTACATCAATGGTTTGTTCTTTCGCACTGAAAATGCATCACTTAATCGTGGCAGACTCACGTGGCTGGAGGGGTGCAAGCAGGAGGAATGGGAGAATCTGATGCTCTAGGTTTTTCTTACATGATGCTTCCTAATTATGTGAAATGCAGATGAGATGCACATACATAAAAGGGGTGACTTTTCAATGTTTGGTGGGGAGGCTTCTTCCAAGGACCTGTGTGAGCTCTAAATCTTTAGTTCATAAAGACGTAGCTGATGGCACGTGGTTGTGTCAGTGCCAAATTGTTTGGCAGAAGTCAATGTATGACAAAGGGTGGGGGAAAGAGAAAGAGAAGGTTGGCGGCCTTATTGTAGGAGGGTACATCTTCCAATTTTTCTGGTTAACTGTTTAGAACAACTAGTACAGAACCTAATGCTAGTTGGTTTGGTTGTGTCATTGAAACTCTCTAAAACAGCCACTATAATCCAAAATCTATGGTCACAGTATAAAATTTGAGGTGAACAGTAGTTCTTGCAACAGGGCTTCATGACTTCCAGCGTCTTTACAGCCCACATTAATTAAGAACTGTCAAACATAAACTGTATGCCCTGCATTCCTTGTATAGCACATGGTTATTTTTGAGCTCCTGTTACTTTGGTGATAAATGTAGTGAAACAGGATAATATTTGAAAACTGAAGCACATCTACCTTCATATCAGAACTGTTATGTGTGCTGAGTGCAGTGTTCAGCCTTCTAATTCAGGCTAAGGAATGTATCATAGCTTGAAAGACAGAAGGTATTGGTATGATGAGGTTGTCATGTTTCATCTACAGAAAGCCAGTCTTCTGGTCCCCTGCACAATTCAGACTGATGAAGTGTTTGAACAAAGCTGCAGTTCCTGACAGTATCAGTGGAAGAATTTTACCACAAAGTGGCATTTCCTATAGCAGAAAACGTGCTCTTAGAATGGAAGAGAACAGAACACATCTGTGACATAGGCACTACATCTGCTGTACAGTGACAGGCAAAGCTCAGTGGGAAGCAGGACTCTTTCAGCATCAGTGGGCATACTCGCCCTGCTGGACTGGGAGAAAAATTAACAGGGCTCAGCTGTGGGATTGCAACAACAGAGTCCTGACCCAACCATAACCATGCGGATATCTTTTAAAAATCAAGATGACTTCTCTTTTGCTTTGGTGTGGATTGAACACCAGTGATTAAACTACTACAGCTGATTAAATAGGTTTTTATCTTGCTGTAGTCTCAGGAACAAGGACAATGTATTGCAATAGCAATTTCAGACTGCTGTGCTGTAGCTCTAAGGCAAAGCAGCTGTATTGGCTTCTCTAGTGGTTTTTTTTTTTTTTTTTTTTTTTTTTTTTTTTTTTGTAATCAGCTATGGCAGTATGCTTACTCCTTTCAGAAGCAGCAGAAACAATGTTTAAAGAAAAAAGAAGATCCTGAGAGTTGAATTTTCTCGTTAGCATCTCCAGCTTCCAACAGAATGCCAATTTGAAGCTGGGTTACTTTCCTTGAAGTGTACAAGTATTACCAGCTAGCTGTCCAAACTTGTAAGTTACTCATGTGTCTTGTTAGTAATTCCTGGAAAGAAAATTCACCCTCCAGTACCGGCTCCCATGAAACAAGGAAGAAACAAAATGGTGAGGTCAATCCTGCATTTTAAGCTAATATATAAGGGATTGTTACAGTAGCTATAGGAGGGAGACTACAACATTGCAATAGCTGTACCTCTGTTGACAGGTGGGAGAAGTTTTGTTCTGCATCTGTGTTTGGATGACGGCCCAGTGCTGGCCACACACTGCAATCCAGGATTAATCCTCACATAGTGTTTTCTTTCTATATATCAAATTTCCCATTTTGTTAATAAGCACAGCCTAGCATGCACTTCAAGTCAGCTGTTCTGGAGTGGAAGCAACAGCATTTTTGCATTATTGAAATGACAGCTCTCATGCTTTCCTAGAGCCTGTATTGTATGATTAGGGCAAGGTGGAGAGTGATCCTTCTAATCACAAATCCTAAACAGGGATTTTAATTACTGATTTTATTTAATGAAAAGAGGGGGGGAATCTACTCTATCCAGGATCACATATGAACTGTATCCCATTTTCTTACATGCACAGGATACAAAAGGGTGAAAGAATGATCTTATAAGCTGGAAACTTCGAGAGGATATTTGGAAATGGGCCTGCTGCGGGAAATGGTTTTCAGCAATGGATGTCCTTCAGCGTGGGCTTTCCTTCTAATGTAGGAAGGACAAAACTGCTCAGTTCTTCTCCAGAAAACACACTTTAACATGCACAGACACCTAAGCAGGGATATGAAAGGCCCCAATCTTCAGCAGACAGTAAGGAGAATTCATAGAAGTGCAAGGAGATTCCTGCTCATAACAGACATCGGGGACTGCTTTCCTGATAAAAATGGCCTTGAGAAAGGGATATACTTGCTTACTTTGTAAAACATCCTGAGAGATCTGTGCTGGAACTAAGAACAGTAACTTTGCGTTCTTGCAGTTTTAGTTACTGGATGAATAAAGATGCCAGTGTTGTCCTCATTCAGGTTCTGGATGGAAGGCA